GCGTGCGCGCCCCCGCGCGCCCCCGCGCTGGCCCCGCGCTGGCCCGGGGGTCTCACCACACAGAGCCATAGGCCCCGCTGCCGACGTGCGTCGGGGACGCGTAGGTCTTGGGCAGCTCCCAGGCGGTCTTGTTGACGTCCTCGCCTGGGGATCCCGGTCCGGGCTTCCTGCCGGAATGGGGTGGGGGCTGGCAGCCCTATGGAGGAGGGAAAGACTGGGCCTCCCGCCTGCCTCCGACCCTGGTGTCTGTTGGAAGAGCTCTACGGGGACTTAGAAACTAACACAATGCTACGACCTGTTATGGAAAATTTCAAACATATATCAAAGTAGACAGCAGGGCCGGTGCCTGTCACACTTGAATGTGCACACGAATGCCCTGGGAACTTTATTAAAAATGCAGATTCTGGCTCAGGAGGTCTGGGATGGAGCCAAGAGTTTGCAATCCTCAGCAGCCCGCAGGCTCAGAGAACCTCAGAAAGCCAGGCCCCCATTCCTCTGCTGCAGCACCCACATCCACTCACAGCCAGCTTTATTTCGCCTACATTCTTCTGCCCAACCCCTGGATATCATATAAATTCATCGACAAATATTTTGCATCTCTCTCTAGAAGAGGATTAAAAAAAAAAAAACCAAAATCCGTAACCACGGCACCATTCTTTTACACCTAAAGTTAACAGCGCTAATTCGGTTAGACCAAGAATCCATGCAGGTTCTAATGTCCAGCTTTGGACACGGGTTTGCCAGCTTCCTAATGCCTATACAGGAATGCAAAGCTCCATCTGCCACCTGTCTGGTGAGGCTGTACTCAAATTACAGGTGCCCCTGGGGAGCAGAGTGAGGGGCAGACAACGGCTGTGAGGGCTCTGGGTGCCAGCCTGACTCGTCTGACCCTCCTCTGGCCTGGGGACGTGGCTGTGGAAGGGGTGAGTACCACTCTTTTCACTATGACGAGGGGAGAGAGGGGCCCAGGCCACCGCAGGGCAGTCCCAGTGCGCTCCTGAGCTGCACCTGTGTGGAGGGTGCTCATTCAAGTTCCAGGTCTCCGTGCACACGTGATCCACACTGGCCGAGGCAAAGGGTAGACTGTGGCATGGTGGTGCCTCTCGCTCTCTGTCTCAGAAGAAATAAACAAAGAGACTGGGAGAAAAAAAAAGGGGAGGGGGAGGAACAAGGTGTCTTGAACAGGCAAGGGCAACAGCACGCTGGCGGCTCGGACTGGGGCACCTGCAGACGCCCTCTCTGCAGACCCACAGCCCCTCCCCCTGCAGCCCTGCAGCAACAGGCACAGCCCAGAAGACCATTTCAGGGTGGGAGAGAACAGAGATCCCACTGAAATGCCAGAGAGCTTACTGTGACCAAGGAACCTATGCGTCTCCAGCACACAGTAGGATACCATGAAATGTACTTAGAGTGAATGCCAGAGTTGGCCCATCGGAACTGAAAACACGGTGTTTGGCATGTGCCGGTCATTACGCTGTGTTCTACGCCTGGAGAGAGGCCGATGAGTCAGTATTCTTATTATCCTCATTTACAGAGGAGGAACCGGAAGTACAGAGAGGTTAAGTCATTTGCCGAGTGTCACACAGCTGGTAAGGACCAGAGCTGGGGGAAGAGGCTAGTACAGCCTCGCTCGAGAGTCCACGCTCCTGGCTGTGAGGCGTGGGGTGTCTGGGAGCTGAGACGCTGCTCCCCAGAGGGCGTGGCCTGCGAGTCAGGCGATCACTTCACCCAGGCCACAGGAAGGCGTCTGCTGCCGAGCCTGGTCTCCTTGCCTGCGCATCTGACACAGTTCCTGTCCTTTTCTCTGCCCCACTCCCCACTCGGGCCCTGACACCCTGTGGGAGAGAAGGGGCTACGTGCCCGGCGGGGCTGCAGGAGTTTAGGACCTGTGGGGTCGGAGGTGCTGGTCGAACGTACCCTACGTCTGAAGTTCCTGATTCAGGGTCCTCAAAGCCAGATTTTAGGCACAGGCAAGACAGTCGTCCCAGAGATGCGGGTTTCCTTGTGGGTTGAGGGTCCGTAGGGAGAGGGCCTCTTAGCTGTGTGTCTTGTGCACCTGAGCAGGGCAGAGGTGAGCAGGGGAGGTGAGAAATCCCAGGGAGGCACTCACTGCCCTGTGGGTGTGAGCCTTGGACCAAGCAGGCCAATCTGGCTGTGGCTCCAGAGGCCTCTTGAGCAAATGTCAGGAAGTGACTCAGGCCTCAGCACTGCCCTCAATGACCCCCCACCTTGGTCTGGCGGGGGCCATGTTTAGTCAGCAGTTGGGCAGCCTGGAGGGAAGAGCCGTGGAGGACCCAGCCGGGAAGAATCAGAGGGGAGAGGTCCGAGGCCCTGTACTCTTCTCCTCCCTAGCACTGCCCCAGTGCTACCGTGAGGGTCTCTGTCCCGGAAGAGGGAGGTGAGAATGAAGGAAACCATCTTTAGAGTGAGGCCTGAATTTCCATCCCAGCTCTGTCAACACCCACGGCGTGACTTTAGGCATGGTTCCTTCCCCTCTCTGAGCTTCAGTGTCCTCCCTGTAACAACACGGGGATGATATTAAAGTAGGACAAGTACGTTTAGGCTTAAGAAGGCATTGTTCCAAGTATGGTTATCACCACGACCTGGTGAGTAAGGGACTCGGAATGCCTCCAGCCAGAGGTCATCAGAAACACCCGCGGGTGAACAGGTTGAGGTTATTATTCGTGGCAGCAGGGAACGCACACACCGTGGGCTCGTGGGGCGTCTAGGGAAGAGGGCGCTTGTGTTAGGTGATTTGGGCATTGCTCTGGGTTAGCTGGTGTCAAGAAGTGGAGATAATTCTATGACTGGGCACCTTAAGCAATTCCACCGAGGAGGGGAGGAGATGAGGGTGAGGCAAAGCCACAACTGGGGAAGAAGCAGCCTCCACTCAGACGAGCTACGCCGGGAGACGTTTGGTGTTTTGTGTGGCTTGGACAATGTTTGTGTTTTGTCTGTGTTCAGATATGATTACGGAGTAGTCCGGCTTTGGTCTGGATCCATCTGGTCGCAGATGGCCTCTTCCGACGCTGTCTGTGAGGTCGTGTGCAACGGAAGCACACCACGGCCAGGCTGTGCCAGGCCAGCTCTGAGCAACCCAGTCCTGCCTGATGGGACCGGGCAGCTTGCAGGTGCCAGGGCTGCTTCGGTCTGTCCTGACACCGTTGTTTCCTGGACAGGTTAAGTCACCCAGAACTGAGAAGGAGGCGGACATGGCCTTCAAACCCGGTGCCTGACTCCAGAGTCTGCAAGTTTAGCTGCCAGGAGGGATGTCTGGCCCCCAGCCTGTCTGAGAAGTGGCTGGCCACGAGG